TGGCTGGCTGAGTGGGAGTTATAATAGTCCGGGTGGGAGAGTGCCATGGGTTATGTAGGGAAGTTGGGAAGGGATGGACGGTTTCTTTGAATGTTTCTCGAAGTGGCGGGTCCCGCGGAGCAGAAACATGGCGGGAGTAGGGGAGGGGCGGCGCCGAGGGGGGATACTGGAGTTCCTGGCGGAGGAGCGGGGGGGGAGAGGGTGAAGGTGGAGTTGGGAAGTCCTCAGAAGTGCAGGGGAGGGATGAGGGAGGACAGGCGAGAGGGCGATGGGATCGCCACCAGGAGACGATGGCCGTCAGGCAGCAGAGAGGGGAGAAGGAGGCAGGAGTGCTGGGGGTAAGACAATTGGAACGAGAAGCCACAGCAGGAAACGAGAGGACTTGGGGAGGTTAGTGAAGATGAAAGCAGGGCACCCACTGCAGTAACCTGGATGACAGTGCAAAGAGGAGAGAGCAGAGGGAGGGCCTCATCAGGGGACTTGGGTGCACAATTGTGTGCAAAAGGTTTTTGTATTCTGCCTTCTTGAGCACATCGCTACAGCTCTTGAATAACGTCTCTTAAGGAGGGGCCCTAATGGGTTCCTTTTATTGTGTTGCTCCCACTGCAACTAAAGTTATTCTCCTCTGCCTTTACTCCCTGGGTTACAGTTTGACATCAGCCAACTGATTGGCACAGGAAACCACACCCACACTTGAAGTGTAGTGTGGGGGGAAAAATAAGTATTGAAATTAATGGAAAACCTGGTCTGAACTACGTCTTAAAATAGTGCTTTTGTTCTTCTCTAATAGTTCAAGCTTATTAGTTTGTCCATCGTAAAGTTCTATATTCGTTTCTGATTTCTGTGCCATGGAAAATGTTCCGTACTTAGTAAAGTAGATTCCCTAATATGAGATAAAAGATTAAAGTAATTTTAAGAGCCCTCCAGATGAGTCATCCCTCCAGAATTAGAATGTGATTGTCTTGGATGTCACACTCATTGGCTTGCAAAATGAAACCTGCTGGTGCCTCCTTAAATTCAACCGATTGCAGTCTGTTTAACAGTTCTGAAACTCAAGGTACAGTATATTTGAAGAATCCTAATGTCAGTACTGAGTACAATTGGAGGCACAAGTCCAGAGGTCTGGCAGTTCTGCACTTTGGCGAGATCAACAGTGACGAGCGCTATTTTTTTTTGCTTATAGAGTAATCACACATGCGTGAAGTCCGCTATTGTTCCACTGATTTTGATTGTTTTGCTTTATTTGTCTTTGTGGAGAATTACGTGCAGAGTGAGCTCTCCGGTACTGTTACGCTGCTGAAGTTGTAAATGTAGGCCAGTCCATAAGAACCAGGGAAAAGTGCTTGTCTGACTTCGCAGTGTAGATCAATACCAAACAGAATGTAGCTTTGGTCTGTGAGTCATTTCAATAATTCAAGTACTACAATCTTATGGGATTTAGGAGTAGTTACGAGCAGTAGTTTTGTTAAATTTTGTTAAAACTCAAATTTCACTATTAGGTTTATGTTCCATATGAAACTTCCTATTTCAGGTGTTATACTTGAAGCTATACGATGAGAAAAGAATAGGTGATGCCTTATCCTTTATTTTGGTGATTAATATATATCCACTTTTGAGTGTGAAATTCTGCAATGTTTATTAAACCTGTTTCTTATGTGATTTTTCTTCCAGTTGGCCTGGATGCTGCGGGTAAGACCACGATCCTCTACAAACTGAAGCTGGGAGAAATCGTCACAACTATCCCCACCATTGGTAAGCAGTCACACTCTTTAGGAGTGGAAAAGCTTAGGGGACAAAATGATAAGCAGCACAGAAGTCAATTCAAGACACTCAGAAGTTGCAGGTTTAATTTGCAGACATGAGTCTGGTTCTTTATCAGCACACTTTATGCAGGAAAGCCCTTGAGGTTAGAGGATAGTGAAAGTAGGTGGTTGTGTTAGCTGAAGACGGAAAAGCTGCACACTCATGCATAATGAGGACTTGGAAGACTTTCTGGTTTCCTGACTTTAATTTTCAAGCTATGGGTCCTTCCAAAGGGAATTGTCATGTTTTTGTTAACCGTCTGGTACAGTAATGAGACCATTTGACACCCATATACAAAATCTAGCTTAATGTCCTTTAGGAGGTGTTTCTTACTAATAAAGATGGCTGGATAATCAACCCAAGATTTTATAGTCCTACAAAAAATGTATACTAATAATAATCTGACCACAATAGATAATGCTAACCAGAATGCCTACTTGAGCATTAGTGCTATTCATTTTAATTGTAAGTGTTACATGTTTAGACTTCCCAGCGCTCATTCTGTTTGATGGGGACTCTCAATTGCAGTTTTCTTTAAGATCTCAGAAATCGTGAATATTTTAAATTTGAAACCAAGCTATTGGCTTTACCTTTAAGAAGACCTGAGTACGTTTTCCTAACTGGTTTAGATTTATGGTAATAAACCACTGGTTTGTACAGCATCGATATGATTGATCTGTTGCCCTTTTCTGTAATATTGAAGTAAATTTGTGGCTTTTAAAGTGGTGTCCAGGGACTACGGACTCATCTTTGTCAATTCATGCAAGAAAAGAAACTGAAGATAGGATTAACTTGATCCTGGAGGCTTAAGGAACTAGTTGAGTTTTGCTTTTGACTCACTGATATTGTTAAAGGACGCTCGGGCTTTGACGTTAACAAGACAGTTGCATTAAGACGGCACCAGTGTGCCAAGGCTTTCTCTTGTTGAGGAGGAATGTGAAGACCATGTCCTGAAGGGCACAGTTGACCTGTCTCTCTCCCTGCATAGGGTTCAATGTGGAAACAGTGGAGTACAAGAACATCTGCTTCACGGTGTGGGATGTGGGTGGCCAGGACAAGATCAGACCCCTCTGGAGACACTACTTTCAGAACACACAGGTAAAGTCATGCATGCAATTTTAAATGTGATTCAGAATTTTGTTAGTCAGAGTGAACCACATTGTTGTCCTTCTCAATTTTGATATGTTTAGAACATAGGGATGCAAATGTGAGGGAGACTCTTCATCCCGTCTGTCTTGATTGATGGCCATCAATGTATTGATCCCCCTTCTTGTCAAGTAGCAATATGTGTTTTTTTTCCTGTTTTCTATCCTCCTGTTTTAAGAACTTAACAGTGGCTCATAGTAAGTACAGGAGCTCTTTGAAGGGAATCTGGGAATTCGCAGAAATTGTTTTCATTAAACAGTGTCCCTTTTGGACATTTAACAGAATAATTTGGGTTGGTAAAAAAAAAACTGGAGTTGAGAAGTCTGTGTGGAAATAGCATTGATTATAACTTTGGAGTTATTTACATGAAGACTTTTTCTCAGTCTGCATTGAGTGTTATTTGATTTATCTTTCAAAGGGTCGAGTATTTGGCTTGCCACTTATCCACTGAAAGCCCCATTATTTCACCATGCAGTCCTAGATTCTAGATGGAGTGTTCTAAGAGAAAAGCCTATATAGGTCTGTCTAGTCAGCAGAGAGACATTGTGTGGAATGTCCCTATTAAGTTTGACCATCCAACCTTATAACCTGCTAAGAAAACACTTACTTGCTGTGATGACTTATTTTCATGAGCTGCGAATCCTGTGATACTGTACATGCTGTCCTGTTGGTGTAATGACGGGACATGCTCTTTTATTCGTGTTTTTGATGCTTTCTGCGGTTTGACACCGGACAGATTTTTCTCATCGGAAAACAAACCTGAAATCAGGAGAATGAGAAGTTCACTTATGGACCAATTGCCCATTGCACATTTCTTCTGTTGGTTTGCATAATTGTTGGAAATGGGCTGGCGATACATAGAGGACACCCACCCATTTGGACACAGTGATCTAAATGGGACATAACCTCACAATGACTAGTGCCCTTTCACAACATTTCTCTAGTGAGTGGGGTGCTGATTTTTAAATGAAGTTTGCAAAAAAGGTACATCAGGACCTAAGAGAATATTATGCAGTGTTGTCCTGTTCAGAAGAGCTTTGAAGGATCGAGTGTCCTCAGAGTCAAACCTGGTCTTTTATTCTCCTTTTCAAATGTGCAACCAACACAAGGGCTCCCTATGGTACTTTCCCTGGTGGCTTTTCTGCCAGCCAGATGCTGGTTCTCAGCAGTCTATGGCACCGGCTCAGTAGTTAGCAGACAGGGGGGCAGGCTTAATGAGTTTCGTCATTGCATTGCTACAGCCCAGTCCTAAGAGAGAAGGAAGGTGGCAGGGGCCCATTTGTAGGAGAGAAGCTCGCCCTGCTCTGCTGCAGAAATGCAGGTTCTTGATAACACTTCATCTGGGTAGAAAATGAGGTGCAATGGAATGGCGTATCCTCAGATTAACTGGGAAGTAACGATAATGGGCGTGATCCAGAACCTGAAGAGATGCTGTCAAAAAATTCTAATCAATAGACAAGCAAAGTAATACAGTAAGTGAAGATTACATTTCCTGCCATTGAGGTGTAAAGGGTTGCTCTCTCAGAAGTTGTATAGTCCACCGCAGTTCCAGTCATGTGGTGGATCAATCCCTCACCCAGCAGTGCCAGACAGCCTGAAGTAGGTATCGGTATGTCACCAGCTTGGGTTTGTCAGTGCAAAGAGGGTGTGAACTCTCCTCTGGTGAGGTAAACGTTTCATCTGTGGCCAAGAGAGTGTCCTTTCTGCTCGATATTCCTCTGAACACTTAACGGGTGACTGCAGCTTTGAACTCTGCAGTCTAGACTTCTCTATTTTGGGACATTTTCCCCAGCTTTTTAAGGGTGAGCCACCTATAGACCGTTCATTTTTACATCAAAGCTCTTTGCTCTTTGTAGTAAAGGTCATCCGCATATAGCCACTGAAGACGAGGTGGAGATAGAGAGACTGTCCTTTTTTTAGAATGTTAATGAGGCTGACCTGAAGATCAAACTAGTTTGGTGTTTTAACAAGACACATGACTACTGTATGCTTTTATGTCCTCTGTGGTTATGATTAGGGTTTATTTTGTATCACATGCAGAGTAACTTTCACTTTTGTCTGTTAAATGGGCAGTTTATGGAGAATGGATTTCTTTATCTAGATCTCGGAGCCAACATCTGAACATTACGTAGCAGATATTATTTTATGTGCTTCAGAAAGTGTGTCATTAATCTCCCATTTGAAATGTGTTCATACACAGTGAATTGTCAACGTTGTGTAAGACCTTGACCTTAGTCTTAAGCTATTTTTCTCATTTGTCAATTCAAAATTGCAAAAATGGGTCCTGTTGTCCCATATTTGAGAATCTTTCCCTTAAGGCTTGCTTCAGTTATCTTTGTATGTGGTGGATTAAGTGGAACTTTGAAGTTAATATGCAGATTACTTGCAAAACGATAACTACATTTGCTTACCCATCAGCAAAAGAGAGATTCATGAAGCCCCACTGAAATCAAACAGTACTTAGATTATGCTTTTTGATTCTTCTGGTGCCAGAATTAAATTTGCATATAATAAAACCCCTCAAACATGGACTGTTTCCCTACTTACAGTCCTAAACACTCCACTGCTCTATATCCCAGAGGATTCAACAGGGTAATGAAATACGGATTTCCTCAAATAGTGGCTGTGATGAAACATTCTTGTACAAAACTTGTAGTTTAATCTTCCCAGTTGTAATTCACCACGTTTGTACATGTAGCTCTCTGGTTTGCTCCTATGCACAATCTGCTTTCTTTTCGTCGTTCTTCAAGGACACTGGAATTTAGGCCGGGGGCAGCCAGCAAGTCAGAAATAGAAAACGTCACACAGACTCACAGGCCCGCGCTGTCTCGGAGAGAGCGCAGACGCGCTTATCGCCGTGCCCAGAATTATTTATAAAAATGGAAGTAGGCCTGCAATTATGTTTGATTTGATCGACACTTATATTTTAAGCTCTTTGGCATTTCATAGGAAAATTGGGCAACTTTGCCGTTTTGAAATTACCATGGATACGTTGATATTTCTTCCTTTCTCAACATGGGTGATTACATCAATTTTCGTGTCCCATTGCAAACTTCAATGGACCACAATCAACTATTGGACAGCCATTAGTCTGGTATTACCTGTGTGACAGGATGTTACACTAGTTAATACAATACAGCACAGACCAGCAAACGGCACTTTCTGTGTAAAATTTGGTTTTACTTATCTCTGCCATCTGATGAAGCCAAATTTAAAAAGGGATGATAGGTAATGCATTAAGAACAATAGGATACAATCACCATGTCCCAGATCATTTTCTATCATGGAATTCTGAATTTATTTTCATTCTATGCTGCTTTGAAGAGGATAAATGTCACCGATTTTTTTTATTTAGTAGGAAAACTTAAACAGGAAGCTCAAAAGGGGAAAACCTTGTCTTACTTTCTGTTATTTTGGCTTGTTTAACCCAAAGATGCACATTTACTTTCTTCAAAATAGCACATAGCATTTTTTTTGGGGGGGGTGTTCATATTAAAGTTTCATTCATTTATACTGCAGGGTCTTATCTTTGTGGTGGACAGCAATGACCGGGAGCGAACACAGGAAGCAGCAGAGGAGCTGCAGAAAATGGTGAGTACTCCAGACTCCAGCAGGGTCGGGCTTCCTTGATTTCTTGGCCTGTTCTGAGCTGGCAGTAACCAGGAGTCTCCGAAAGACTTTGGATGGACATTTTCTGGCTAGGGTTTCCTCAGCCTTCCTGGCTACAATTTTTTCCTTATACATTTAAAAAAATGAATTTGTTATACCCACTCACTATTGGAATTGGCTATTTTGTCTCTGTCTAACCCGGTGTCCTTGTATAGGAGATGGTGAGACACTTCCCTGACCCATCCATCCTCTAACATGTTTCAGGCAACACAAGCCCTTGTCAGCAGCTCGGTGCCAGTTGATGGAGAGGTGCATCTCTGAGCCTGTAAGCTCACAGGAAGCTGCCGGGCTCAGATGAGAGCTCAGCCTACTAGTCCCAAGCTACACTCAGTGGCACTCTCACAATGCAGGCTGCTCCTTGGGCTACTCCAGCCATGGTCAGCTAGTAACAAGACCCAAGCTCGAACCCGTGCTCGGGCGGCTGCTTATTTCAACTTGGTTTGGAGTTCAGAACAGCAGGGAGCCCAAGAGCGATTGGGTGCCTGCTCTCAGGGTTAGGGTAGCTAACATTCACTCCAGGTCTTTCTGTATATGTAATGAAAAACAAGAAATAAACTTCCGATCATTAGGTGCTGAGAATATACCCTTTGAATTAATTGAATTGACAAAGCAAGAAATGTTTTAGCTTGACTGCGTTTTTCCTCTGTTGCACTCTGAGTGAAATGAAGTGAAACCAAAATGACAAGTAACTTAAGCAAAGGTAGTTTGAGCTGTCAGTGGTACCTTTTTACTAGGAATAGGGTCTTAAAACAGGGAAAATAGGAATAGGAAGAGTTATTTTTCAGTTTTCTAAAGGGGCTCTATACACCCGTCTCACTGTGAGATGCTGGTCAGCTTTTTGTAAATGGAGATTGTAGGACAGAAATGGTACTAGACATGAGGTCTCTTAGCCAGGGCTCTGCAGTGCTCTTTAATCATGTCTTCTTCCCTAGCTTCAAGAGGACGAGCTGAGAGATGCGGTGCTGCTGGTGTTTGCTAACAAACAGGACCTGCCAAATGCTATGGCCATTAGCGAAATGACAGATAAACTGGGTCTCCAGGCGTTGCGCAACAGAACTGTGAGTATTCCTGTCAGGCCAGTCACAGCACTGCAGAATAGGCCAAAAAGCACCCCGTTCAAGTGTTTCGTTTCCTATCTTGATATCCATTAATAGCCCTCTGAAAAAATCTTAAATTTCACTTCTGCAGATAGCTGCCTGTGCCAGCTCTGATATCCTCACAGAGGTGGCGTGTAAAATCATTTCTAGGGCCAGAATGTACCGCAAATGATCCAATGTAAATTAATTGGCTTATATACCAATTTGAACTGTGAATAATATTGCAGTGTAAGTGTTTCTTAGGACTGTATTAATGAAAATATGCAGCTTTTTAAAATGTATTCTTTTATTATATTACTGTTAATTGCATGCATCGTCACCTTCTAATGATACTACCTTTTGTGCACGATCCTGTAAAATCACAAATTTGCATAGAGTCTTTTAATCTTGTTGTCAATACTTTGTATGTTCATATGGTTTCTTAACTCCAGTCCAGTATTCCTTTGCAAATGAGCACAGTCTCCTCCTCTACACAGTTTTCTTCTGTGATGATGGATTTGCAACATTCTCATGTTTTGTTAAACCAGTTTGGTAGGAACCAGACTTGTGTTTTTTTGATTAAATGTAAATTTGATCTCATTTTAATTGGCTTTGGTACTTAATCAGACTTAAGGCAGACTGTAACAGGGGCTAACATATAGGCATATAACATATGGGAGCGAGTCAGAGCTAAAAAATCCATTTGAACACAACACACTTGCCAATCATCTTGCGTAATATGTTGATTTTTCTTTCTCTAGTGGTACGTCCAAGCTACCTGCGCCACACAGGGGACGGGTCTTTACGAGGGACTGGACTGGCTTTCCGACCAGCTCTCCAAACGCTAAAGGCCATCCGCCGGAGACGGACGTGTTATTTAATCAAGGACATGTTTAACAGAGCTGGTCTAGGCTTGGGAGAAGCGAAAACTAGTTTTGCATTCGATCGTTAACGGCATTCAGAACAGAGATGGCTTGGCAGCACATCTTGATTTCCCTTTTTTTTTTCTGAACATCTTTGCTGCCAACATTGACAAACATTTTGTGATGCATATATAGTAATAAGCCATTGGTGAAGAGAAAAGTAAAAAAAATTACGGGGGTGGGGGTGGGAGGGAGTATGAAATACATTTTAACAGTTTAAAGGACAGATCTGTGGACAGTTATAGGACTTTCAAACCATTTGTTTTTTGTTAACTGATAATTGAGATCTTTCAAATGTGTTTTAAATGCATTCAGCCCCATTCCTTTAGCTGACTTCAGGCATTCCTAATGGACAGTGTATTGGCAAACCCGTTTGTGCTTTCTGTATAAATGCAAAGGGCCTTGTCTGTTTAGTGTGTAGCTGCTTTCAAACTTCAAACACTATACCTAACCCTACTGCAGCGATCGTGCTGTTGAGATCTCTTCTTTTTCAACTGATGAACAGGACGCCATTTATACCCAAGAGGCTTTTTTTTTTTTTCCTTGATGCAGAAATATTTTAATGTACAAAATTAGTTTCTGTGGATTAGCTGACTTTCTAATGTATTTTTTGCATGTTGCTTTTTTGCATTGGATCGTTTCGATTTTTTTTGCATTCTCACAAATGTTTCATGTCTGCCATTGAAATTGGATGCTTCACTCATTTGGACCTTTTTTGTTTATGGATCAAGTAACGATTTCCAATTTGAGCAATGTCATATCCCATTAACAAGTATAATTCCTAATAAAATCTTAAAATTCCATTTTTAGATTTTCCTGAAAGTCTTGCATGAGTACCCAAGACATTCGCCCCTGCCCAATCTCCTGTAAAAAAAAAAGTTATTAGATTTGCATGCAAACAGCAGTTCAGAGTGGAGAGTTGAATGAAGGATTGTGCTGTTTGAAAAGGCATCCCATATGGACACCTAGTAGAAAACATCCAGCTACCAGTTTCAATAAACAAGCGTTTATTGGATTTTTTTAAATGTACACAAATGTTTCAATAAATAAGGTTATGAGCTCCTATGGTAATGCATATTCATATGCTGTTTTCCCACCAATTTTTTCTTCTTTATGCCGAAATTCTCTAATTCTGTTATAATTTTATCCGTTTTAAATGAAGTTAAATGCTAATTCTGACAGAACTGTTTTTTATGGTGCAAAATCAGCCTGTCAGCTTTGATATATACACAGAGAGAAACAATCCTAATGATGAGCAACACGTGACACCGAGTCAATTAAATTTGATTGGTAAATGGTTTAGATAATACACTTTAGTTGATGCCCACATAGTTCTAAGCCTTTTAAGATTCTGATCAATTTGGAGATTGCCAAGTGACAAACGTGATTTTTTCTCACCCAAACTCGTCTGTATTAACCAATGAAATCTTTGAGGAACTTGCTGATACTGCTAGAATGTTTTGTAAGCCCTGGGTGCCTTTAAGGCATGTTGATGCAATAAGGCCGGGATTCAGTTTGTTACTGTACTTTTCCACTTTGTGGAAACTGGCAGGAGCTCATCAGATCTGGTGGAGTAGTAATCCATGGGGAGCTACTGGAGTTAAACTGTAGCTCACCGCTGGAAAGTCTCTGCTGTACAGGCAATTCTCTCAAAGAGTGAAGAAATGGAAATCACTTGGTGTCTGGCCAAGGCTGTGAGATGAGTGACCAAGCACCCTTACCAGTAGTGCTGTAAATAGTGTTACCTGCTGTGATTCTCCAAAGAAATAGCAACAGAAGCCATTTTCAAATAATAGCTTACTACTACTGGTCCAGCACATTAATGCTCAGGTTTAGGCTGTTCAAGTCCAGGTGTTTAATAATCACTTTTAAAGAGATACAGGATGTGACCGTAGGTGGCATCCCTCAGTGGGCTTATAACAAAGACAGTAGTGGGTCTACTGTGGACTGCTGGGGTGCCCGTTACCTTCCTTAGTTAAATGTCTTTGCAAGTCGTGCAATATTTTACTGGGTTGTCTGTCCAGGTAATGAAATAGAGATGAGCTTTCTAGGTATACTCCTAGAATTCAGTTTCAGCAGTTATTTTCAAGTTTTAAATACCCTAACCATAAAAGCAGCTGTTGATGTTGCAAGTCTTACTTTTTACCTAGGAAAATTTAAAATACAAAAATAATAACCATCTTTTTAAACTAGATTTGTATAATTGTGCAGTATCTCGTACCTCTCAGTTTTACATGGAATTCCCTGTATTAAATAAAGGTTAACCATATTTTGGATATTGAATATTTTAAATGGCAAGAAAGATTATATTTTATTGGAACTATAACTCCCATGTAATGCTGCATGTCCTGCCCTGAATAACGGAAAAGGCTTGCACAGTCCCCAGTAGAATAGAAAAACAATACTGTTGACGTTTTTAGAGTTCTTGAAAATTTAAAGTTGCACTACAATGTGAAAATATTACAATAAATTAAACTTCTATACTTTATATTATCTTTAACAATTGAAACAGGCCTCTAAAAGGATGTGAAAGCATACACTACAGTAGGTATTCCTTCCATTCACGCCAAATTTCTGTATAAAAGCAGGTTCCAAATGTCATTTTAACTTCAAGAAAATATTTAAGTTATTCCTACTGTTGCATGTGCTGTCTCCATGAACAGATTTTAGTATTTCAAATCTGTAGAAAGCCCCATAAAAAATGAAATAGCATCACCATTTATTCTGTAATTTCCATCGTTTTACAAGCTCCGAGACTCCTTGTATGTCTGATTCCTCATTTCAAACACACATGAAGACTTCTTTTCAAACATTGAGCCCAGCATTGACATTTTAAACAAGGCTTGCTGATGCATGAACCGCACGAGGAGCATGATTTGACCATGTAAGAATATTTCGGTTTTGCAAAAGCATCATGATCACTAAGTGGAAAGGGCTAAAACTATGAGACACATTTTAGCTTTATGAACATATCCCAATACACCCTGAAGGTAATATTACTGGTACTGTTCAGCTTTCTAACTCATCAAACACATCCCCTAAATGAGCACTAATTACATTAGGAATTAAAATATCATGCCACACAGGTTTTTGGAGGCGGCCAAACACCAAAAATACAAAAACCTTTGAGCAAGTTGCTTTAAAGGGGTAGTGATATGTCTATTCATTATTAAATGGTAATTTACCAGCTCTAATTGTTCTGTGATACAGCATACTGGTATTCTTGATTAGCTAGTAAGTCAAATTGTTATTCATTACTGTCAGTTTGAAATCCTTAGAACAATTTTACATGTTGTTTGTCATAAACATTTCACAAAGTGAAATGTCATGACAAGCTGTGGGGAAAAAAGGTGGTTGTACAAAATGATTGGACATTCATAAACATTAAAGGATTCTTAACACATTACTGAAAAAGGAACATCTGCATGTAGTCCGAGAAGTTCTTCTCACTGTGTCACTAGTGTCAATTTTAGTTTTTGCTCTTGCAAAAAAGCTTTAGAAATCAGGTAACGTGTGTGTCTACGAACACAGTAATACTGTGCAAAGGAACAGGCAAAGCAGATAAAGCCAAAAGGCTGCGTCTCTTTCATTTCCTTTCTGCATGGAATAAACCTTTACCTGTTCCTTTACAGCCTACACATGCTGACGTTGCTCTCTACTCGAACGCTGGGAGCAGGCCAAGTTCATACTCCAACGATTCATTTCTGACACCACCTGTGAACTTTTTCTGTTCATTAAATCTACAGTGGGGACTGTGATCTTACTGTGGTTTCAGGAGAGAATCTGACACGGTTCTGATGCAACTCACAAAGTTGACATTTTAGCGCAATTTAGTGCTGGGGAAAAAGTTAACTTTCAATGAAGATCAGAAATGTGTGGGAAAAGTCCGAAATCGACAGCCTTCCAAACGTCGATTATTACAAGTCGGTTTCCTAACGCTACAGTGCTGAAACCACGTCTGGTGGTGGGGCTGCCTCTCCCAAGACGGAGGTAGGAGAGGAGATCACTTCCACTTGATGTCACAGACGAGCGCGATGTGGTCGGAGGGGTGCAGGACGCTGGGCAGGGCCTGGTGTGTGGTGACCTCCTGGTGGCTGGGCATGGGGATGACCTGCTCCACCTGGAGGGCCCGAGGCTCAATGAAGATGTAGTCCAGGCACCCGTGGAAGCCGCCCACGTAGTTGGTGTAGGCTGGCTCCCCACAGGCGCTCTGCAGCTGGAAGGGGTTGCTCACGGCCAGCGGGCAGAGCTCCTCTTCTCCATTGGACGCCCAGTCCTCGTGGCTCTCGGGCACCGCGCCCTGAGTCACCAGCTGGTACATCCCTGTGGAGGGCGTGCTGTTGAAGTCCCCGGAGAAGAGCAGAGGGATGCCGGGGTGGGGTCCCGACGTCACCCAGCTCAGGTGTCGCAGGGCGATGGCCATCTGGATCAGCCGGATGTGCCCGCCTGAAAAACCGAACGATGGGATCAAAGCGTCTCTGTCTGGTTCGGCTCACACAAA